CCGGTTCTTGGAAAAAAACTAAATTGGAGAAAAACTGGTATAGAGGAAGAGGGGGTTTCTCTCGGGGAAGGGAAGCCACGGAACAGGACTTCAGTGATTCTAATAGGGAGGGGGTCCTAGGGGAGGGAAAACTTTCCACGAAAAATGGAGTTTTAAGTGCCAAATTAGACGAAAATCGTATTGTTTTCACTAAAATCGACAAAATCTAACAAACTTCGTACATTTTTAAATTTGTAATGACTCCAATTGGAAAGGTTTTGACGGAAAAACAACAAAACGGAAAAACAAGTAACAAATCTTCCTATGTTTTTAACAACCATCGATAAAATCAAAAACGTTTGACGAAAAGTAAGAATGTTTACAGACTTTTAGGTATTTTTATACCAAAGTAACTAAAAACGGTGTTTTTCACATAAAATTATCAAAAGAGGGTAAAAAGCAAAAAAATAAAAACAGGCTAAATTTTTCCCTTATGGGCCAAGGGAAAAATGAAGCCATTTTTGCGAGTACAGACAGTAGTCTGTGCTTTTGCCTAAAAAAGCAGAATTTGTCTTAAAACAAATCAAAACATCGCTTTTTTCGAAGCATTTACGAAAAGTGAGATTTTAAATTAGCAATCAATTAAATCCGAAAGGTTTGACGGAAAAAACAGTAACAAATCTTTCTGCGTTTTTCAACAACTACTGATAAAATCAGAAAGGTTTGACGAAAAGTGTAATTTTGAGTTTCAAATTCGATGGAAATTGTATTGTTTTCATAAAAAGCAACAAAATCGAACAAACTTCGTACATTTTTTAGTTTCCAACGACTTCAATTGGAAAGGTTTTGACGAAAAAACAGTACAACGAAGTGGTATCCATTAGATAAAAATAACACAATTTTAAATGCAATTTGCAAAAAAAAAGTACGACGGAAATTTTTTCATTAATATAGAGGAAAGGTGAAAAAAGAGAAAAAAAATATTTCGATAAAGGGCTGGAAAGGGGCTGGGGCTGGAGATTCTCTATATATATTAGCAGTGCGAAGTAGGACTTAGAACGATCGTGAGGTAAAAGTATATAGAACTAAAAGAAGAACTGGGATTTACCCGATGGGAGTACCAATTGAGAAAAAAAGGAGAAATAATGTATCCGGTTCTTGGAAAAAAACTAAATTGGAGAAAAACTGGTATAGAGGAAGAGGGGGTTTCTCTCGGGGAAGGGAAGCCACGGAACAGGACTTCAGTGATTCTAATAGGGAGGGGGGTCCTAGGGGGGAAGGAAAAACTTTCCACGAAAAAATGGAGTTTTAAGTGCCAAATTAGACGAAAATCGTATTGTTTTCACTAAAATCGACAAAATCTAACAAACTTCGTACATTTTTAAATTTGTAATGACTCCAATTGGAAAGGTTTTGACGGAAAAACAACAAAACGGAAAAACAAGTAACAAATCTTCCTATGTTTTTAACAACCATCGATAAAATCAAAAACGTTTGACGAAAAGTAAGAATGTTTACAGACTTTTAGGTATTTTTATACCAAAGTAACTAAAAACGGTGTTTTTCACATAAAATTATCAAAAAGAGGGTAAAAAGCAAAAAATAAAAACAGGCTAAATTTTTCCCTTATGGGCCAAGGGAAAAATGAAGCCATTTTGCAGTACAGACAGTAGTCTGTGCTTTTGCCTAAAAAGCAGAATTTGTCTTAAAACAAATCAAAACATCGCTTTTTCGAAGCATTTACGAAAAGTGAGATTTTAAATTAGCAATCAATTAAATCCGAAAGGTTTGACGGAAAAAACAGTAACAAATCTTTCTGCGTTTTTCAACAACTACCGATAAAATCAGAAAGGTTTGACGAAAAGTGTAATTTTGAGTTTCAAATTCGATGGAAATTGTATTGTTTTCATAAAAGCAACAAAATCGAACAAACTTCGTACATTTTTAGTTTCCAACGACTTCAATTGGAAAGGTTTTGACGAAAAAACAGTACAACGAAGTGGTATCCATTAGATAAAAATAACACAATTTTAAATGCAATTTGCAAAAAAAAAGTACGACGGAAATTTTTTCATTAATATAGAGGAAAGTAAAAATGTTCACTTATTTTTTTTCGATAAAAATGTTTACAGACTTTTAGGTATTTTTATACCAAAGTAACTAAAAACGGTGTTTTTCACATAAAATTACCAAAAAGAGGGTAAAAAAGCAAAAAAATAAAAAAACAGGCTAAATTTTTCCCTTATGGGCCAAAGGAAAAATGAAGCCATTTTTGCGAGTACAGACAGTAGTCTGTGCTTTTGCCTAAAAAAGCAGAATTTGTCTTAAAACAAAGCAAAACATCGCTTTTTTCGAAGCATTTACGAAAAGTGAGATTTTAAATTAGCAATCAATTAAATCCGAAAGGTTTGACGGAAAAAACAGTAACAAATCTTTCAGCGTTTTTCAACAACCATCGATAAAATCAGAAAGGTTTGACGAAAAGTGTAATTTTGAGTTTCAAATTCGATGGAAATTGTATTGTTTTCATAAAAAGCAATAAACTTCGTACATTTTTTAGTTTCCAATGACTCCAATTGGAAAGGTTTTGACGAAAAAACAGTACAACGAAGTGGTATCCATTAGATAAAAATAACACAATTTTAAATGCAATTTGCAAAAAAAAAGTACGACGGAAATTTTTTCATTAATATAGAGAAAAGTAAAAATGTTCACTTATTTTTTTTCGATAAAAATGTTTACAGACTTTTAGGTATTTTTATACCAAAGTAACTAAAAACGGTGTTTTTCACATAAAATTATCAAAAAGAGGGTAAAAAAGCAAAAAAATAAAAAAACAGGCTAAATTTTTCCCTTATGGGCCAAAGGAAAAATGAAGCCATTTTTGCGAGTACAGACAGTAGTCTGTGCTTTTGCCTAAAAAAGCACAATTTGTCTTAAAACAAATCAAAATATCGTTTTTTTAGAAGCATTTACGAAAAGTGAGATTTTAAATTAGCAATCAATTAAATCCGAAAGGTTTGACGAAAAGTGTAATTTTGAGTTTCAAATTCGATGGAAATTGTATTGTTTTCATAAAAAGCAACAAAATCGAACAAACTTTGTACATTTTTTAGTTTCCAACGACTCCAATAGGAAAGGTTTTGACGAAAAAACAGTAAAACGAAGTGGTATCCATTAGATAAAAATAACACAATTTTAAACGCAATTTGCAAAAAAAAAGTACGACGGAAATTTTTTCATTAATATAGAGAAAAGTAAAAATGTTCACTTATTTTTTTTTCGATAAAAAAAATGTCTACAGACTTTAAAGTATTTTTATACCAAAGTAACTAAAAACGGTGTTTTTCACACAAAATTCCCAAAAGAGGGTAAAAAAGCAAAAAAATAAAAAAACAGGCTAAATTTTTCCCTTATGGGCCAAAGGAAAAATGAAGCCATTTTTGCGAGTACAGACAGTAGTCTGTGCTTTTGCCTAAAAAAGCACAATTTGTCTTAAAACAAATCAAAATATCGTTTTTTTAGAAGCATTTACGAAAAGTGAGATTTTAAATTAGCAATCAATTAAATCCGAAAGGTTTGACGAAAAGTGTAATTTTGAGTTTCAAATTCGATAGAAATTGTATTGTTTTCATAAAAAGCAACAAAATAGAACAAACTGCGTACATTTTTTAGTTTCCAACGACTCCAATAGGAAAGGTTTTGACGAAAAAACAGTAAAACGAAGTTGTATCTATTAAATAAAAATAACACAATTTTAAATGCAATTTGCAAAAAAAAAGTACGACGGAAATTTTTTCATTAATATAGAGAAAAGTAAAAATGTTCACTTATTTTTTTTTCGATAAAAAAAATGTCTACAGACTTTTAGGTATTTTTATACCAAAGTAACTAAAAAAGGTGTTTTTCACATAAAATTCCCAAAAGAGGGTAAAAAGCAAAAAAATAAACAGGCTAAATTTTTCCCTTATGGGCCAAGGAAAAATTTAGCCATTTTTGAGTACAGACAGTAGTCTGTGCTTTTGCCTAAAAAAGCACAATTTGTCTTAAAACAAATCAAAATATCGTTTTTTTAGAAGCATTTACGAAAAGTGAGATTTTAAATTAGCAATCAATTAAATCCGAAAGGTTTGACGAAAAGTGTAATTTTGAGTTTCAAATTCGATGGAAATTGTATTGTTTTCATAAAAAGCAACAAAATCGAACAAACTGCGTACATTTTTTAGTTTCCGACGACTCAAATTGGAAAGGTTTTGACGAAAAAACAGTAAAACGAAGTGGTATCCCATTAAATAAAAATAACACAATTTTAAATGCAATTTGCAAAAAAAAGTACGACGGAAATTTTTTCATTAATATAGAGAAAAGTAAAAATGTTCACTTATTTTTTTTTCGATAAAAATGTTTACAGACTTTTAGGTATTTTTATACCAAAGTAACTAAAAACGGTGTTTTTCGCATAAAATTACCAAAAGAGGGTAAAAAAGCAAAAAAATTAAAAACAGGCTAAATTTTTCCCTTATGGGCCAAGGGAAAAATGAAGCCATTTTTGCGAGTACAGACAGTAGTCTGTGCTTTTGCCTAAAAAAGCACAATTTGTCTTAAAACAAATCAAAATATCGTTTTTTTCGAAGCATTTACGAAAAGTGAGATTTTAAATTAGCAATCAATTAAATCAGAAAGGTTTGATGAAAAGTGTAATTTTGAGTTTCGAATTCGATGGAAATTGTATTGTTTTCATAAAAAGCAACAAAATCGAACAAACTTCGTACATTTTTTAGTTTCCAACGACTCAAATTGGAAAGGTTTTGACGAAAAAACAGTAAAACGAAGTTGTATCAATTAGATAAAAATAACACAATTTTAAATGCAATTTGCAAAAAAAAAGTACGACGGAAATTTTTTCATTAATATAGAGAAAAGTAAAAATGTTCACTTATTTTTTTTTCGATAAAATATAGAACTACACTTTTTACAAATAAACTATAAAAAAAATTGTGGGTAAATGACTAAAATTAAATAGATAATTAACTCAACGGCAGAGTATCTCGCTTACAACGAGAAAGTTAGTGGTTCAAATCCGCTATTATCTAATGGGCAGATACTCGCGTTTTTTCCATAAAAATTCTTTATTTTTTCTTTCTTATAAATAAACTTCGGTTTTGGTGGACTCCGAGAAAACGAGTTTATATATAAGAAAATTGCGGGTAAATGTCTTTTAACCTGAAATCTTTTCAGATCTCAAGAGTTAATTTTAAAACTTTTTATAAATACTTGTAATATAGGGAAGCTCTAGTTAAGTTTTAATGTTGGTGATGAAATTTATTATGAAATTTATTATGAAATTTATTATGAAATTTATTATAAGTAGTTATTTACTAATCAATTGTAAGTTAAAGAGAGCAAATAAATCAATATCAAGTTTTTTATTATTAAGTTTTAAAATATCCGACCGTGTAATTAAAAAATATTTTAATGTTGTTGGAGGTTTATTATTTCAGATTCATGAACAGCAAATTGAAAAAACGGGTATTAAAGATCCCGATATAGTTTTATCAAATGAAAGAGTATTATACATTAACAAAATTTTAGAAGACTGTGGTGTAGAACCAGAGGATTGGGATAGGCATTTCCGAACATTTTCTGATTCTCTTGCTTTAATGGAAGAGCTTTGTAAATATTCTATAGATGAAACCGACCCAGAACTTTACGAACAGGTACGCGAGTTGTTTCTTTCCACGAAAATTACCAGTGAGGAATACGCTTTAAGAGAAGAAGCCATTGATGAAGTCTTAAGAGAAGTCGCTGAGGAAGAAGCCGTTGTGGAAGACGCTTTAAGAAAACAAGTAGAAGCGGCCGAGCAAATTGAAAAAACGGGTATTAAAGATCCCGATATAGTTTTATCAAATGAAAGAGTATTATACATTAACAAAATTTTAGAAGAATGTGGTGTAGAACCAGAGGATTGGGATAGGCATTTCCGAACATTTTCTGATTCTCTTGCTTTAATGGAAGAGTTTTGTAAATATTCTATAGATGAAACCGACCCAGAACTTTACGAACAGGTACGCGAGTTGTTTCTTTCCACGAAAATTACCAGTGAGGAATACGCTTTAAGAGAAGCCGCTATAGAAGAAGCCATTGATGAAGTCTTAAGAGAAGTCGCTGAGGAAGAAGCCTTAAGAAAAGCCGCTGAGGAAGAAGTCTTAAGAAAAGCCGCTGAGGAAGAAGTCTTAAGAAAAGCCTTAAGAAAAGCCGCTGAGGAAGAAGCCTTAAGAAAAGCCGCTGAGTTAGAAGCCTTAAGTGAAGCCCCTGAGTTAGAAGCCTTAAGTGAAGGCGTTATTGAAGCCATGAGAGAAGCCTTAAGAAAAGCCGCTGAGGAAGAAGCCGTTGTGGAAGACGCTGAGGAAGAAGCCGTTGTGGAAGACGCTTTAAGAAAACAAGTAGAAGCGGCCGAGCAAATTGAAAAAACGGGTATGATAAATTCTAATCTAGTTTCCGCAACTGAAAGAAAGTCGTATGTTACGAAAATTTTAGAAGATTGTGGTATAGGACCAGATGGTTGGAATACGTATGCCCAAAATATTTCTTTTTATCTTGATATAAGGGAAAAGGTCTTTGATATGCCTATAGATGATACCGACCCAGAACTTTACGAACAGGTACGCGAGTGGGTTCTTAACACGAAAATTGCCGCTGAGGAAGAAGCCTTAAGAAAAGCCGCTGAGGAAGAAGCTTTAAGAAAACAAGTAGAAGAGGCTGAGCTAACTCAAGAAATACCACTAAATGAAGAGATAAATCCTAATCTAGATTCTGTGCTCGAAATGATTGATTTTGATAATATGTTAGAAGCGGAAAATGGGTTTATAGTAAACGAAGAATTACGTCAGTTTTTGAGATTTGTATATCTATTTCCCAAAAGTCTTTAATTCACGGTGAATACTTTACGATTTTAATTTATTTATTATTTGCAATTTTGTTATCTTTTGTAATTCTAGGTTTTTCTTATCTATTTGTCGTTCAAAACCCAGAAACTGAAAAAATGTCTGCTTATGAGTGTGGTTTTGAACCTTACGAAGACGCACGACAAAAGTTTGATGTTAAATTTTACATAGTCGCTATGCTATTTATAATTTTGATATTGAAACTATGTATTTAATTCCTTGGTGTGTATCTCTTCCTTATATTAATTCCGTAGGGTATTTCGTTATGATGGAATTTATTTTAGAATTATGTGTTGGTTTTCTTTATGTCTGGTACATTGGGGGGTTAGAATGGGACTAAGTTTTAATTACTAAAAACACTTTTTAAATTAATTTTGGTTTTAACAAAAAGTGAGTTCTATAAAAGCTTTTTTGTGTACTATGTATTTAAAGATCAAATGTATTTATTAATAATTATTTTGCCACTTTTTGGGTCATGTGCTGCTGGATTATTCGGCAGACATTTAGGTTCTAGAGGTTCTACAATTATAACAGTTTTTTGTTTGTTTTTAGCTTTTTTATGTTCTTTTTTCGCTTTTTATGAAGTTTCTTTATTAGAGTGTTTTGTCTATATTAAATTAATTTCTTGGATAGACTCTGAGCTTTTAAATGTTGATTGGGGATTTTTATTTGATACTTTAACTACAGTAATGTGTTGTGTTGTTACTTTTATTTCGACTTTAGTCCATTTTTATTCTATAGAGTACATGTCAGGTGATCCTCATTTATCAAGATTTATGTCTTATCTATCTTTTTTTACTTTTTTTATGCTTATTTTAGTAACAGCTGATAATTTTGTTCAATTATTTGTTGGATGGGAAGGTGTAGGTTTATGTTCATATTTGTTAATCAATTTTTGGTTTACGCGTATCCAAGCAAATAAAGCCGCCATTAAAGCTATGGTAATAAATAGGATTGGTGATTTCGGCCTTGTATTAGGTATTTTATTTATTTTTGTGACTTTTAAAGCCGTAGATTATGCTACTGTTTTTTCATTAGTTCCTCTTGTTAGTAACACTACTGTAACTTTTTTGAGTATAGAGTTTGAAACTTTATCAATTATAGGTTTTTTTTTGTTTATAGGTGCTATAGGTAAATCCGCACAATTAGGTCTTCATACATGGTTACCGGATGCTATGGAAGGGCCTACACCTGTTTCTGCTTTAATTCACGCGGCAACGATGGTTACAGCTGGGGTTTTTTTAATCGCGAGGTGCTCACCTATTTATGAGCACACACCTAGCATGCTTGTAATTATAACTATAGTAGGAGCATCCACAGCTTTTTTTGCAGCCACTGTAGGTTTATTACAAAATGATTTAAAAAAAGTCATTGCTTATTCTACATGCAGTCAATTAGGTTATATGATGTTTGCTTGTGGTTTATCTAATTATTCTGTGGGTGTATTTCATTTAGTTAATCATGCTTTTTTTAAAGCCTTATTATTTTTAGGAGCAGGTTCTATAATTCACGCTGTAGCTGATGAGCAGGATATGCGAAAAATGGGCGGTCTTAAAAATTTAATACCGTTTACATATTCAATGATTGTTATAGGGTCGTTAGCGTTAACAGGATTCCCTTTTTTAGCAGGGTTTTACTCGAAAGACTTAATTTTAGAAGTTGCTTATGGGAAATATACTGTTCCGGGCCATTTCAGTTACTATTTAGGGGCTTTAGGAGCCTTTTTTACAGCATTTTATTCAATTCGACTTTTATACCTAACTTTTTTATCAAAACCTAATGGGTATAAATCTGTGATTTGTTCTGCATATGACTCTTCTTATTACATATGTATCACTTTAGGCGTTTTAGCAATACCGAGTATTTTAATAGGGTTTTATACCAAAGATATGATTGTAGGTTTAGGTTCGGATTTTTGGGGTACAGCTATTTATATTGCTCCACAAAATATGAATATGTTAGATGCAGAGTTTGTTATTCCGTTTTTCAAATTATTGCCTTTATCTTTAAGTATTCTAGGGCTATTTACAGCATTTACGTTATATAATTTTCAAAGTAAAACGCTATTTAAATTAAAAATTACAAGTGGAGGTCAAAAAAATATATAATTTTTTAAATAAAAAATGGTTTTTTGATAAATTATACAATGAGCAGTTAGGCCAGTTTTTATTTAATTTTAGTTACGGGACTAGTTATAAAGTTGTTGATCGAGGTATTTTTGAAATATTAGGACCTCATGGGATCACTTTAGTCTTATTTAAACTTTCTTCAATTGTTTCAAAACTACAAACAGGTTATATCTATCATTATACGTTCGTTTTTTTAGTAGGTATTACGCTAATTTTAGCTTTTTATCAAATACAGACTTTTGTTTCATTGCTTTATTCGTGTACTATTGTTTTATATCTTTTAGGGTTATTAGTTTTATGTACAAAAAAGTAAAAAAGTCGTGTTTCTTATTATAAAACGTGTTTAGTCTACCTAAAGTTTGTATTTTTTATGTCTTTCACTGTTATTTAGTTTTTTGCTCTGATAAAAAGAAAATTATGATTCATAAATAAAAACAAAAAAGTCTTTTCTTTGTTTTTAGCAAAGTCAATCAATCCTAGAGGTTAATTTAAAAACTCATTGGTAATAAAATTAACTATGAGTTTGTTATGTGCAAAATTCATTTTTTTTGATAAATTCATAGTTGATCGAATTGCTGAGAGAGCTTATACCACTAAGTCTACTTATACGAATAAGTCTAGTTCTAAAATTAATATACCTCAACCGTTAGTACATGACAACTCTAATCCGAGAATAAAGCCAGCAGCCAATGGAAAAGCGTTTAGAGAACAAAAACTAAAACAAGCACCTGAAAAAGGATGTATGATACGATTGAGATTCTTAATAGCTAAATTAGAAGCTGAAGAAGTAAGAAAAAATGAAGAGTATGCTGCATTAAGAGCACAAGGGTACTGGCCTGAGCCTGTACGTGATTCTAATTTATTAAAAGTATTAAAAATAATACTTGAGGTAAGAGAAGATGAAGAAAAAGAGTTATTAGAACAACAAACAGCACCTAAACCAACAAAAACAGAAGATCCTTTTACATATATAAAAACAAGACACTCTTTTCATTTGGTAGATCCAAGTCCTTGGCCGCTTGTAGCATCTTTAGGTGTTTTTATGTTAACTACTGGGTCTGTTTTATATATGCAAAAGTTTATAGGAGGGGGCTCTTTGCTATTAACAGGGCTAGTTCTAATTTTATTTGTAATGTTTACTTGGTGGCGGGACATTATTAGAGAAGCAACCTTCGAAGATCAACATACGTATATAGTTCAGCGCGGTTTACGGTTAGGAATGATTTTATTTATTGTTTCTGAAATAATGTTTTTTTTTGCTTTTTTTTGGGCATTTTTCCATTCGAGTCTTTCACCTACTTTTAACATTGGTGGAGTATGGCCTCCAATAGGTATTCTTCCAATAAAAACTTCAGGAATACCGTTAACGAATACATTTTTTCTGTTAACCTCAGGAGCAACGGTCACATGGGCACATCATGCAGTAATCGTAAGGGCAAAAAAACATGCGTTAATTGCTTTAATTTTAACGTTAATTCTTGCGTTATTATTCACATGTTTACAAGTATTAGAGTACTTTGATGCACCGTTTACTATCAGTGATAGTATTTTTGGTTCTTGTTTCTATTTGACCACAGGGTTTCATGGGTTTCATGTATTTGTAGGAACAATTTCTTTATTAGTATCTTTTATAAGACTTGTTCTTAACCATTACACTAATACACATCATTTTGGATTTGAATCGGCTATATGGTATTGGCATTTTGTAGATGTTGTTTGGTTGTTTTTGTTTATTACTGTTTATTGGTGGGGTGGCATTTCTTCATAAAATAACTCATCAGTAGTATACTTATTATTTTAAATTAATTTTGGAGTTTTTAAAGCTGCACTTACAATAAAAAATTGTGTGGGCGAATATAACTCAGCGGTAGAGTATTAGGTTGTGGTTCTAGGAGTCGCAGGTTCAACTCCTGTTATTCGCCTTAAAGTAGTAATTAAAAAATAACTATAAGGCATTAAGTGGATACCTAGACATCAAATTTTAAGTGGACGTTTATAACGAAATTTTGGAGTAAGTATACTTTTACTAAGAATTCCAAATATCCACAACGAAAAATCGAATTAAGATAGATTTTAATTGTTTTTTAACGCAAATTAGTGAACTGAAACATCTAAGTAACTAAACTAAAAAATCAACCGAGATGCCGTAATTAGTGGCGAGCGAACACGGTAACAGACTGAATATGTTATATTTATTTAATTTTTAAGCCATAGAAGGTGGTAGCCCTGTGAGATAAGATAACTTATTTTTAAGATAAGTAGAACAATAAAATTAAATTGTTTAAAGTTGGGGGACCGCCCTCAAAGTCTAAAAATTTTGATGTTTGATAGTGAAAAGTACTGTGAAGGAAAGGTGAAATAAAATTTGCGAATTTGAAAAGATTTTGAAACTTAATGCTAATAAGCAGTTGAAGCTCATTTAATAAAGAGTGACAGCGTACTTTTTGTATAAGTGCGACACGAAGTGTTGCTTTCCATTTCTGTGAGATCCAGAACCAACTGTGTTACGTTGGTATTCTACCTTGACCTGCGTTCAGAGTAATCTGGGGTTGGAAGCTCAAGGAACAATGTAGCCTGAAACTCGAGTAACGCGAGAGACGGAGCTAGAATGATTATCTATGCCTAATGTAATGTGAATCAATGTTTGAAGCTCCGTAAAAAGTGAACTCAGGTGCGTTACTTATTTACTGAGTTGTGCAATCAGAGTTAAAGCTTTATGCTCTTTAACTAGTAACACTATACGGTTGTCGGAGTAGAGTTGGAGGCTAAGGATAAATAAGTATGGAAAGTAATAAACGTGGTAAGCCCTATGTCTTTAACATAGTCATATGGAGAGGGTAACGAGCAATCGTTACTATCGGACAGAGGGTAAAAGAATAGGTAAAAAGCTAATGCAAGGCTGTAATCGTCTTGATAGAGTCTCTGGCAATAGCCATTCATGACTTGACCTGAAAGGGTGCAGACTTACTTATGGTGGATTAGACCAACAATCCTTTGTCATTGACATAAGATTATTAAAAATTATTTAAAATTTTATATTTCGTCAAACAATCAAGTTAATATGAATACAAATAACAATTGGAACGACTTAAACTGGCGTAAAATTTATGCCTTTGTCAAGACATTACAAAGTGAATTGGTGGTGGCGTACAAAAATAAAGATTTGGTAAAAGTTCACTTTATACAGGAAAAACTTGCTATGTCTTTCGAGGCTCGTTCTGTAGCAGTTAGAATGGTTACTGTGAACAATGGTAAAAAGACTCCTGGTTTTGATAGTATAGTTTGGGATAACCCTATTAAGAAATTTCAGGCTATAAAACAACTTCGAGAAATCTTAGTTGGAAAATCAGGTTCTTATCAATCAGGTCCCGTTCGAAGAGTTTGGATTCCTAAAACCACTCCCGGAGAATTAAGACCCCTTGGTATCCCTAATATGATCGACCGAGCTTTACAAGTTTTGATGCTTCTTTGCTTAGACCCAATTGTGGAAGAAATGAGTGATACTTATTCTTTTGGTTTCAGGATATTTCGTTCACCTTCTGATGCTATTCAAAGGATACGAACTCTTTTAGATAAACCACGATCTCCGAAATGGTTGTGGGATGTTGATATTAGTAAATGCTTTGACAGGATTTCTCACGAATTTCTAGAGAAAGAATTAAAAGTGCTACTTTATGCTAGAGGAAATGAATATACGTCGAAATGGTTAAAAGCACCGATTATAGATAAAGGAGTTACTGTAATTCCTGTGATGGGAACCCCACAAGGGAATATTCTATCACCTTTATTATGTAATATAACATTAAATGGGTTAGAGAACGCTATTCGCGATGGTCTGCCTTCCCCTAACAGTAAGGAGGGCAGAAAAATAAGTGGTAGCTGGTGCGTAAGGTATGCTGATGATTTTATTGTAACAAGCCCAGACCGAAATCGAATTATCCTTAAGAATATACCGACAGTGAAACAGTTTTTAAATGAAAGAGGTCTAGAAATTTCCGAAAAGAAATCTCGAATAATCTATCTTGAAGAAGAAGGGTTCGACTTCCTAGGTTGGAAAATATGTCTGTTTGAAAGAAATCTTAAGAAAAATAAATCAAGTTACAATAAAAATCCTGGTGATTAAACCCACTAATGAGGCTGTAAAACGTGTCAAAGCGAAAATAAAAGCTAAGTTCATGTCAAACAAACCGATAAGAGGCTTAATTAAAGATTTGAACCCAATACTAAGAGGTTGGTCAAATTATTATAGAAGCTCATACCATTCTCAGAAAATTTTTCAATCGATAGGTCATTATGTTTACCAATCTTGGTGGAGATGGGCCCGAAAGAAACATCCGACTAGAACAAAGAAATGGATATAGTCAGTATATTTTCAAATCTGATAAACGTTCTTGGAATATAGGGGCTTCGAAAGAAATTCAACTATTTGACATAACTCAGGCAAAGCAGATAAAGGTAAATTCTTTGAAGAGCAACATCAATCCTTACACAGATGAAGAGTATTATATTTCTAGTTCTTTGACTGTTGATGCTGAGAGATTCCGAAAAGCTATATACAATAAGTATAACTTTAGATGCCCTGTATGTAATCAAGCTCTATTTGGGGAAGAAGACATTCATCTGCATCATATTATTCCACGAAAAGATGGAGGTCCATATTCCTTAACTAACATAGCCCCTTTACATAGAACTTGCCATGAGAATATTACATATACCAAAAATCCGGGAAATTTATTTCCTGGAGGAACTTAATCTGCTTCAGCCGTGTGCGGTGAAAGTCGCATGCACGGTTGTGAGGGGGGGAAAGCTTGAGAGAGCCTACCTATCCCGATCGGATCAACAAGTTTATTTTAGTGGCGAGCTTAAGCAAAAATAATGATGTGTAGGCGAAAAGAAATTGAGTTTAAAATTGCGATTAAGTCTCTAAAATAAGACCCGAAACTAAGTGATCTAACCATGAACAGGTTGAATTTTTGAGCGGCGACGCTTATTGGAAGACCGAACCCGTGTATGTGGCAAAATACTGGGATGATTTGTGGTTAGGGGTGAAAGGCCAATCAAACTTAGAGATAGCTGGTTTTCTGCGAAATCTATTTAAGTAGAGCGTTTAAGATCTTTGTTTTGAGGTAGAGCTCTCGATAAACTATGGGGATGATAAATCTTACTGAATTTAATGAAACTTCGAATACAAGACAAAAAGGCTTAAGCAGACAGACTACGAGTGCTAAGATTCGTAGTCAAAAGGGAAACAGCCCAGATTAATTGTTAAGGCCCTTAAAAATAATTAAGTGCGAAAATTGTAAAAAGACTATGACAACCTGTAAGTAGGCTTGGAAGCAGCCATCTTTTAAAGAAAGCGTAATAGCTCACTGGTTTAAACTTTTTGTATTGAAAATGTATAGGGACTAAAATTATTTGCCGAAACAGTAAATTTAAATTTTTAAATTTAAATGGTAGCAGAACGTTCTGTAAATTAAAGAAGACTTATGGTAACATCAGTTGGAAAAATCAGAAGTGATAATGTTGATATGAGTAGCTAAAATAGTGTGAAAATCACTATCGCCTTAAATCCAAGGTTTCCAAAACAAGGTTAATCCTTTTTGGTGTTAATCGGTCTCTAAAAGTTAAAACGAAAGTTTTATTTGATGAGTTGAAGATTTAAATTCTTTATTGATCAAAAGTGACAAAATACAAATATTATATTTATTTTATGGTATAAATAATCGTGGTATAGTATTTTCAAGAAACAGCTTTGGTTAAAAAACCGTACCCTAAACCGACGCAGGTGGATAAATTTAGTAAATTAAGGCGTTTGAGAGAATTGTGTTGAAGGAACTCGGCAAAATCACTCCGTAACTTCGGGAGAAGGAGTAGCTTTATAAGGGAAACCTTTTAAAGCTGTCACATAATCGGGGATAGCGACTGGTTAATAAAACCACAGGTCTCTGCAAAATTGTAAAAAGATGTATAGAGACTGACGCCTGCCCAGTGCTGCAAGAGTAAAAGTTGAAGTTTTAGAGCTTTGGCTATAATCCCCAGTAAACGGCGGCTGTAACTCTGACGGTCCTAAGGTAGCGAAATTCCTTGGCATTTAATTGATGTCCTGCATGAATGGCGTAACGACTATCCCACTGTCTCCAGCACAAGCTCAGTGAAATTGAATTCTCTGTGAAGATGCAGCGTACTTGCGGCTAGACGGAAAGACCCCGTGCACCTTTACGTGCGACTCGTTTTATCGAGAAGATTAGTGTCATTTGACCGATCGATCAATAACACTATGCCTTTGGTTAGTGAACTATATAATACATGAAGGTGAAAGTCCTTCCCCTTTGAAAACTAGGTGAAAGCATACACCACATGCGTTGAGTTTGGCAACTCAATGTGTGAAGCTGGTGTAAACGAGAAGAAGTGTCTTAGAGAGTAAAGGCACGACGAATTTCTAGCAAGAGTGACTGGTGGATAGCGTAAGCAAACTGAATGTCTGAAGCATCAATAGCACGAAGTGGGGGAGTAATGCTCTCTGCTTATTTTAAGGATCCCCACGCCCTGAATATTGGGTAGAGACCCAGGCTTGAGTTTGTGAAGGCTCAAGTTCGTTTTCTGTAGCGTCTCTGGTGTAAAGTTCAGATCCTCTCAGCTCAAAACAATGTATTGTATGGAACGAGGAAACCCCTAAGATCTCACTTTATTTATAAAGAGCAGGTAGCCAACCGTATGGTCTTAGGGAGTAAGATTGGGTAAGAAGCGAATGGTTGTTTGTAATGAACAATATATGCCCACGTACCCACTTTCCCTATTGTAAATTTTTCTGTATATTTGCACACGTTCAAATTAAATTAATTTAATGATTAAAGTTAGTGAAATGAAAATTAGAAGTAAAGTTGACTGGAATTCCATCAATTGGAGGAAAATCCAACTTAGA